GAGAGTCCACAACTTCTCTAGGCAGACTGCTCTAATACTTGACCACCCTCAGAAACAGAATGGTCCTCTTAATTTTCAACCTACATTTCCTCTACTGCAGCTTGAGGCCACTGCTCCTAGTCCTAGTCCCTATGGTCACAAAGAAAAGTCCATCTACATCCTCTCTATAAATGCCCTTTGGGTATTGAAGACTGCTATCAAGTCCACCCTCAGTCTTCTCTTCTCCAGACTAAATATCCCTAGTTCTTTTACTCTTTCTTCATAAAAAACATGCTTTCCAGGCCCCTAATAATTTTCTTGCTCTCTGCTGGACTCTTTCCTCTGCCCTTTTACTATACAATCTCTCTTCTCTGATGTACATGATGCCTTAAAGCAGGGTCAGGGCAACTATTTAACTTGGCAATGTTTTGGGAATTAATGAAAGCTACAAGACAACTGAGCTGTGTCATACTCCTCTCTTGCAGCTACTCACTACAGTGATGGCCCCCAACCTTTGCTGGCCCATGGATAATAGTAAGCAAGTAATGCACCACAGGCAACATCAGTGATTGCCTTGTCAATATAAAGAAATACATATCTGTGGGAAGCTAAAGTGAATAATGGAGGTCTTAGTCAATATGTCTATGAACCACAGGTTGGCAGTGACTGCTACAGAAGAAATTCAAGGAGAAGTCGTACTATTCTGATCGTGTCCTGCAGAGAGCTCAGTCTCCCAACCCACCCTCTGTAACTGACCCCTGGCAGAGACACTCTTCTACAAGGAGCAATATACCCTGGCAGGTCTTCCTGTTCCCCATTCGTACCTGAAGGGATGACGAATGTATAGCCCTGCTTGAGCTCAATACGCTGACATTCTGACACTCGGTCACCAAGGAAGATGTCTCCCTGTTTCCCAGACAGTAGCCAATTCTCATAAAGCTCCAGGTTCTGGGGTGTAGGGGGGATCAACCAGAAGATCTGCAAATGTAAAGAGAACCCAAGACAGTTAACAGTCTGGACAGCCACCTCCCTCTCCCCCCGCCCTTTGCTTTTGGTTTCTTGCAATTTTTCTGCTCTCTTTCAAATGCCAGAACACATAGAAATGTGTATTCTATTAAAGATGGCTGGCAATTAGCAAAATGACAGATTTCCAATTTAAGAAATGTGCCAAGGACTGCACATTACTCCAGGCATGGGGATATTCAGCACATTCTCATCTTCAAGAAACAGTGTCAAGTAATACAAAACAAGTTCAAGACTAGGCAGGCATATATGGGACAAGTTCATGATGACCATGTTCCTGGGGCACTCTCTTTATCCTTAATACAGGGAATTCAGCCTCCAGTCATTTGCACCTGTGCGCAGCCCTACAGCATGCAAATGGTATTTCTTCCCAGAAGGCAGCCATAGACCCTACCCACTTTATTAGATCAAATTCACAACCCTTTGGGAAACTGCTTCAACCACACGCCTTCAGTTGGACATACACAATGGGGCTACTGCCAATTGCAGTGGTAGTGCCAAGGTGGCTGAGCCCCTTTTGTGAACACAGCTCTGCCAACAGAGCTAGACTAGCACTCCCGTATGACATAGCTTCACCAGAAGAATGTGCTTTCCACTGCTAGAGCCACACTGCACCTGTAGCTAATCTTTTCAGAGTTCCAGTCCACAAAGCTCTGTCAGCAGACAAGAGCTCTGACAAAGCTGAAACTTTGGACAAGGTAAGGAGTACTATAGTTCCTGCCTCTAGTGAGTCAGAAAAGTGAGAAAAAACAGATTTCTGAAGCCCTGCAGTTTGGGCACATGGCTTGGTATTTCCTAAGGTGCTCAGACATTGTGATGTTACAGACTGCATCAATGCATGAAGTCCAACACTTTACTCTGGAAGTAGTATTGGATCTGCTGTGTCAACAGCTTGCAAAAATATGTATATTGTCACTACAGCAAGAGGCTAAAAGTGGTTGTATGCACAGATGCCACAGGGAGAAACTTATCTCCATTTTCACAGGTGCAACCAGAATTCCTAGATAAGCATAATTTTTATAGGGAAGATGAAAATATGGTACCCATACAAAGCTTCTGTATAAGATGCAGCTTTTTCCTATCACCTCCCCAAGAAGGCAGATCTAAAATTAGATGAGTTTTACACACTGAAGCTATGTAATGACATAATAGAAATCACTGTAATAGATGTTTACCAAAAAAATCAATTACATTTTTGTTAAAATGTTTTATACTTTTGGGGACAGGTAGATTTATACGTATAACATCTCAGACCTTAGAAAATTCACTATTTTGTCTGAAATATGTGAGCAGTGCTTTCAAATTACAGTTCGTTTGGTTTTTTAAAATAGTTTTTGGACTCCAGAAGTGTTCCCTTGTTTTAAATGTTGAAACAAGTGGTTATTAGTTTTGTGTGCCTGTGACCAGTAAAAGGAAAATTCTGCTTTTAATCAAGTAGGGGGGAGATTATTCAAAGACAGAGATGGGAATTGGGCACCTCCAGGGAGGGGTGGGGTGGGATGTTTTACCTGTCTTCTGTGCATTCAAAAAGTCTTCCCTTTTCTATATATAAAAATGGGTTTTACAGACAGCATTTACTGTCAGCCTTAAGCACCCATAACAATAAGGCCTTGCTAATGCTGAGTGCTTGCAATATGATAGATGCACTAGCAAAGCCTCTTCAGGAAGATGAAACTCAGGCCCAGAGAAGAATTATTTGCCATCATACCCGATATCAGTTCTTTGAACACTGTTAGGCCAGTAAAATCCATCTACCTTACAGCTTCTGCTAGCCTAGTGGTTAACTAGGAGCTGTCATTTCTCTTCACACTCCAGAAGTAGGCTGGTAGGATTTAAATGTGGACTGAGCCTGAATTTAAACCACAATAATGTGTAAAGTTGCAGAATAAAGAATAGCATCTAAAAATACTTCAGATGCAGGAGAGCTAGACAGGAAGACATACGTGACCATAGATTTGTTACAACTTACTATGCAAGACTTCATGAGCCAGAGAATTCCCCATTTCCAACTAGTTTCATTCACTAAACTCAGGTCTGAGGACTAGAGGTCCACTAGAAATGGCAGCTTATGTGGAAAGAGCTCCAGAGCTGTCCCAGTGTACCTTACTAAGGACTAGAACCTCTGTAAGCGAGCACAGGCCATGGATCAGTTAGTTTGGACAATTTGGTGTATACTCCTACATGCATGAGTCCATGCACTGCTTTTAGGCTCACAGGTATTTGTAAGCTAGGGAGACCATTCAACATGGAGATCATACACTAATTTATACACTTCCTCTGAAAAACTTTTTCTTATGTTTAGCAATCTGAGCTGGTATGACCTAGCTGCAGTCCCACATCCCACTGTGGGCACAGAAATCTGGGGGGGGGGGATGTATCCCCCCTGCTACCCCCTCACCACATTGTGATCACATCCCGCTTCCTCTCTCATCTACCCACTACCTCACACACTGGGGGCCAGGGCCTGGGGGCAGCAGGTCAGGAGCAAGGGGCTGGGGCTTGGAAGTGAGGGGCAATGACAGGGACAGGGCACCGGCATATCAGGGCTGTTCGGAGCTACAAAGTAGCAGGAAGGACAGCCATAGTTGGACCCATGTCCTAGTGAGCGGAAGTGGTGGACTCTGGTTTTTCATAATAAAAACCCCCCAAAAATGAAATGCCAAAATATATAGGTATTTATAATTTATTTTATTATAATAATTGAGGTGCTGGTAAGCTTTCAAATTGCTTTAAAATTGTAACTATCAATAAGACATTGCATTCAACTGATAACTGTATTTAGTGGCATTTCACTTTAATTGTGGAAAAAATGTGGATTTGAGGGTTTTTTTTTTTAAATAATCAGAGAATTTCGGAATTTTTTTTTTTTAACTCCGAGAAAACCAGGATTCCTGCTTATATTGCATCATTGTCTTTATTAAAAAGAATGCAGCAGGTTTTTGTAACACTTATAGCTGCAAGGTAACAAGTCAACAAAGGAAACTACCCAAGTTAAACCTTCCAGAAATGCTGAGGTATATCATCTAGCACAAACAGTACATAAAACTGTGTTGAAGTCCAGATCAGTGGAAAGCCATATCGCACTATCAATCTTCCTTCTACCTTAACACAAAATGATCATAAATTCATTATAGAGAGTTAGAGAATTAACCATAGCAAGCAGACAGGCCAAGGAAATTTGAATCCAAGTCCAGGCAGCCCAGCCTTTAATTTAAGGGGATTGGGTTTGGGTTCATTTACAGCTAATAAGCACGGAACTGAATACTAGTTCTGGGCTACTCTTCGGAGAAAGTGTTCAAGTGACTTCATATTCAAGTCCATCATGTCTCTCTAGCTCTCTCTCCTTACAAAGCCATATATCATTTTAAGACTTCCCCCAAAGCTACTGACAATTAACAACAAAAAGAGATGACGGCGTACAGTTGTATTTTTTGAAACCATCAATTAATCTTGAAAAATTCTTGATTACCAATTTTTATTGCTGGCCCCAGGTTGCAACATTAGCCCTGTCACACCTACCATGAAATCCCCAGTGAACAGCACCTTGGCCTGGGGATCAAATGTTCTTTGAAGCCTGTCTGTGGCTTAGAACAACTGCACTTCCTACAGTTTGTTTGGTACAAACCCACAAAACTCAACACAGCCCTCCTGAGAACATCTTTGGCAGCAGCCCTCACAATGACAGTTTTCATACCTTTCCCCCTCTGTGGATGTGGTACCACACAGAGGTGCCCCCGAAGTCCACGTGGAAATCTGTATAGCAGCCCTTGACGCTCATCAAGCAGTACCTGACAAGAGGGCAAGAAGAGATGAGTAGATAAAAACTACCAGACCCTGCCTCTGGTTTTAAAACTGTTACTTTTGACACTGAAGTAAGGGGGTGAGGGGGAAGAGAATGACAAGTACTTGGAACTGCTCAGCTTCTGGGATATGCAGGCTCTGAGCAGCTCTTGAAGCTAAATGCTACAGTGATAAGCACTTAATAACTGTCTATTGCTGGAGATAGCTGACAACAGCAGGAGAGTTCACCTTGCATTTACATCAAATCCCCACAAGGAGCTTTAGCAGAAGCAAGAGGAGAAAGCACTTTCATCCTCATCCTCCAAATAACTCTTGGAGATTCCGTTTCTCATTGGCCCAGCCTCAGTGGCTGTAGCAGGACAGTAAATACTAGGCCGCTCACCCAATCCGAGACACTGCATTGGAATAACAAGCTATACAAGTTCCTCTGATATGCAGAGAAGACAGAATAGCTCGTTCACATGCCCTGTCATGGAGGGGACTGTACAGGGGCTGTTGGCATCATTATAATTTTAATACCATTTACAAACAGTCCTGAGGGGCAGCTAAAGGGAAAAAGAGTCCCTGAGCTCCTTTTCCTAGGAACAGGCTACCACCTCCTATCACATTATATCCTGGACCCTCTGCCCCTACTGGAATGGTGGGTGCAGGACACAGGTGTCTCACGAAGTTACTTACTTCTGCACCTTGGGATACTGCATCTCCAGAATGGCATTTGTAGACTCAGTCTGACTCTCTTTCAAGTGTCTTGGCCACATGTTGTCAACCCAGTCAATCAAATCCACCTGCAACCAGAGAAACAGTTGGTCCAAGTGTAGGTAAAAAGATCTCATTTCCATTCCTCATCTAGCAGATCACAACAGCTTAAAGAATTGTTAGGAGGCTTTATAACCCCACAGTTTGCCGCTTCTAGTAGCCTGGTATGAAATACAGTACTTCAGAAGTAGAAACACTATGCCTGCAGTGGACCCCTCTGAGCGCTAGTATTCTCAGAATGGAGTTCACCCAAGACTATTCATAGCCAGTTTGCCAGCACTGCCACTCTGGACTTGCAACAGACATCAGAGAATTCTGTGCAATGTGTCATCCAGCCCCGTCACAAAAGTGTGCTCCATAACGTAGCTTTTTTGTTCTAATCCTTATGTCTGCATAGTAACCTCAAATGCAAATGGAGAGTAAACAGTGTGTGAGCCTGCAAGAGACCCTGAAATAAATTGCTGAGGTGTTTAATTCCTAAACAGAAGAGCAAGGTCCCACAAAGATATGATAAACATAATTTGCCGCTTTGCTCACTCCTGAGCACACTGCTAAATTACTTCTGGTACCTTTCTAAGAGCCCTAACTGCTTTGTCCAGGCAGCTGAAGTAGTCAACTTCTCCCCTCAGAAACTTGACCATGGCAGCATGCGTTTGCACTGTAACATTATGCAACCCATGGAAAGTTTAAGAGGCCCACATATAATTTGAATACCTAAACACAGGGCAATGACTGTGTTACTTTTGTTCTTAATTTGATGATTTTTTTTTTTAAATGAAAGTTCTGAACTGGCTCTTGATCTCTCGCCATCCTCAGTGAAAGCTGCAGAACCCAAGAAGGTTCAAGCGCAGAGTTCAGGATACTCTCTCTGGTATTCCAGCCCTCCCCCTATACCTCAACAATCAGCCTCTGCTGTCCACTGCCGCTCTGCACCTCCCAGTTGGCTACCTACGCTTTTCACTTACAATGGAGCCAAGGCTTAATGTATGAGGTATGAGTGGGTTCTACATAACAAGCTCCTTAGTAGTTTAGTGCACAACAGCTGACTGGGGAATCAGGCACTGGTTGGAAGAGAGCCAAGGTCTCATCAGGCAATGGAACCAGCTAACCGAGATGAAGCTGGGAGCCAGTGACCCGGTCCTTCCGCACCACTCTTCTCAGACTAACATAAATCTGTCCACTGAAACTCAAATTTGGAAAGGATTTCTTTGTTTTGCCATTGCTTCTAAAGAGGTTACTACATTTTCCAGTTAACCCTCTTTATATACAATAGATCCCACCTTCTCTAATGGCAGGATGTCATTTCTTAGTAGTATGCTGAAGATTTAGACATGATTACTGTACATTTTCTGTGAGCAGAGAGGAAAGCTCCCAGGTCATGCTACCCAATTATTTCTGCTTTTCTCACTAGTTTAGCAAGGTCTGCAATGGTGGATTAGCTTAAAGGCATTCACAGGGCTCTGGTGTGATTATAAAGCTTTCCTCTTTGGGAAGCCTCTCTCTGATCCAGGGAGCATAACAAAGGACTAAGGGTGCAGGGTGGAAGCATGCTGCAGGAGAAGACAACTCTACTGACCGTGGCAGGTCTCTGCACCAGGTTTTCCAGTCTGGTGTGGCTGAACTCCAGGCTGATGACATTGTACAGTTTCTCCCGCTCCTCCTCTGGGGTCTCATAGTAGCGTGCCCACTGTGCCATGGACATCTCAATGTCCCTCTGCGTGTTCACGTCCATGACATCCACCATCCGCCTGCTCCCTGCCACAACAAACAGATGTTGCTGTGAGCGACTGCTGTGCACAAAGAGCTGCTAAGAATAGGCAAGCTAGGGGACAAGATGACACGCTGCCTTCCTGGGGGACGAACTCAATAACCCTACCCTGCCAGTCACTAGGTCTGTCCTCCACATCCATGCCAGGACAGCTAGAAACAGTCTCCGGTGCTCTGAACAAGAGACCACTGCTGAGCTGCTTCAGATCACAGAACAGTCCCTTTCCCTTGCCAGCCCCATGTGTATACCTTACAAAATACTTGACCTTTTGCTCAGGCAAGAGCTGTCTGGGCATAAACAGCTGTATGGCAAGGGAGCCATAAAGCCTTTCCTAACTCATGGTACAAAGTATTCAACATCCCAAACTATTCCCTCTATGCTGGGGTGTCAAACATAAGGCCCATACAGCTGTATGATCTGACTCATGGGCCACTGGACTGACTCTATACACTGCATGTGGGGCGCAGACTGAACCCAACACTGCAATACCTTGCAAGCAGCACAGGGGCCTAGTCTGGGGTGCACACCTCATGTGGCACCATGCAGGACTGGCCTAGTGCAGTATTCTGGAAACAGCTTAGACCAGGCTGTACTGGAGCCACAGAGCAGAGCCAGTTCTGCAAGGGGCCCCATGCAGCACGTGCCCTGGACTGATTCCTTGTGCTGCATACAGGGCACATGGCTAGTTCAGCCCCGTACATGACCAGATGAGTTTGACACCCCTGCTCTATAAGCCACCCCAGATTCTGCCTGAAGGTCATTGTGATAATTTTGTATAACATTCAAGGCAGAGAAGGGATGTACTTACCTACATAGAGGCGCACGTCATTCACACTGAAGTCAGGATCTGGCATCCTGGAACACAGACAAATACCTGAGACAAATGCTGAGGCATAATCCATGGCTAGGGGAGCAGAGGCAGTTTAAAAATTGGAATGATTATCTCCAGAGTGTGAACTGGGAGTTTATACTGTATAGTAACCTTGATAAATAAAGAGCTTGTTTCAGAGAACTTCAGCTTTCGTTTAAAATAGCTCATCTATACTAAGGATACATGTACAAATGTAGTTGCACCAGGGCAAGCTCCCAGTAACTTCCAGGGCAAGCTACTTACTAGATTTATGCAGCATTATTTACCATGAGTTTGGGTAGTTACCTTGGCAGAAATAGTACTTTGAAAGGCACGATCTCAACCTCTCATTCATGGTTGAAGAAAACCTTCAAAGTATGATTCGAAACAAAAAGTATTGCCTGACAAAGTCAGAGTGCTTTAATCATACCTGCTTGGCTAGAGTGGTGTGAATCCCTGAGGTGAGCACTACTACCAAAGTATGCTGTAGCCACTAAGTCTTGGTGGTACTAGTTTTACTACCTCAATAAAGACTGCATTCCTCACCACTCTACTGAAGTAGCTTAAATCTTTAAAAAATAAAAAAAACCCACACTACTAACCCCAGACCAAGCTGCAGGAAGCCTGAAACTGCTTCGCTTCAGGGTGTGATTAACTTAGGTACCATTCTTAGCTGTTTCACTGCTGATCACAGTTTATAATAGATGGGGGATGCGTTAGATCAGCATACTAATGGCACTAGAACCCAGGTGGTACCTGGAGCATACCTGTTAATTCCTACCCCCAAATCAGGGAAAAGTCAAAAGAAAGGAACTTGTTCGGAGTTCTGACAATGCATGCAGCCCAGTAAGACCTCCAGGGCATCCACAATTGTTTGCAACTCACTGTAGCAATTTCAGCAGCCACAGGACTTTCAGCCCACTGATTATCCTACTTTTACTGCTCTGTGTAATCCATCGTCTCAGATGGGAACCCAGTATTGCCAACCCCACTGCATCAAAAATCATGAGACAAACTCTTAAAAATCAAGAGATTTGGTATGTAAATCACAAGATGCTATTTTTGAAGTGTGCAGGGGGAGGTTTAATTGTGAAGACTGTGGGTCAGGAGTGAGGGGCAGCAGCAGGGCTGGGGGGGCTGTGCCTTGGGAGTGAGGGACACACATACAGGTCAGGTCATGGGTCATGCAACAGTTGTGGGTAGCTCCATCCAGAAGTATGGGAGAGGTAGGAGGGTGGGCAGCTCCCTGTCACTGCACAGACCCCGAGGGAGACATGGGGGGCACATGCCCCGCAGTTTCATACACGGGGCAGAGGTAGGCTACCCGCTGCGGGCTGGGGCTCTGTGCCCACTGCCCCAGAAGCCTCACAATGCCAGCATGCCTATTGCTACCCACCAGGTGGGCAGGGGAAGTGCAGCACAGCCAGCATGCAGCTCCCAGGGCAAAGTTTGCCCCAGGAGCTGTGTGCTGGCCGTGCTAGATGTTCCCTCATCCTGGTGGGTGGCAGGAGGCATGCTGACATCACGTGGCAACCAGGGCAAAAGCAGCAGGGCACAGAGCCCCAGCCAGCAGCCTGCCTCACCCACATGCACAAATCTGGAGGGCATGTGCTCCCCATGCCTCCCCTAGGGACCTGTAATCCAGCAGTGCCCCTAGCAGAAACCTTGTCAAAATAAGTTTATATCCCAATAGCACAGTAAAATGCACTCAGCCTTACTACCAGGATTTGATCCCCGTGGCTTGGGTGTAAGTAGCAAAACAGATTCTGAACTATGCACTCCCAAGACCACCACCCACCCACAAAATTAGGAGGTGAAGAGGAAGGAAAATACTACTCTGAGGAAGGCACTTGGGGGATCCTGCTACAGCTTCCCTAGTCCAGGCAGTGCAGTGACCCCCTAGGCTGGAGTCACCTCCCCGACCCTGCTACTTACTTTATTCCAAGGCCTTCAGAGTTTTTAAAAATCAGAGGATCTCTCAGTCCACCCCGCTGGATGTATTCAACCGTGAAGTCTGCCATTGGGATAAAAGACAAGAGTGAGTAATTGTTAGGGGGAGATCGCTAAGGAGATACTGGGGGTACAGCCAGTGAAGGAGGAATATAGCAAAGAGAGGGCTTAAGCAGCCACCCCAGAAATGTTTGAATTTGGTTTGCTCCAGTGCTCTAATCAGCTGTATACAGCCTGCCACAGACACAGGCCATGCAGACAAGCAGGACAGGATATGTTGGTTCCACCAGCTGGGTCAGGCAAGCAAAGGAATAAGGCTTTGTTACTCTCATTCCCCAAACAAACTCAGTGAAGCAAGAGAAGACTCAAGAAAAATCACTTCCACTCCCTCCAGTGCTACATACAGAGCAGTTGTATGATCACAGATATGCCATGCAAAGCTTACATGTTCCCTTTTTACCTAGGTCAACCTCACATATTTGCTCCCCCCAACTATTTACTTGGCCCCTTACTGCTGAGCAAGCAGAATACCTTAGAGAAGAATAAAAACAGGACAAAAGGAAATAAGAAAGTCTGAACCAGAGCTTGAAGGAGCTGGGGGAGGGAAGAGATAGGACACCAAGAAGCAATCCGTTCAATTACAAAAGAACATGTTTAGCTGCAAATACATTTACCTAATACTTCCAATCTAGCTTGCAGCTGAACAGACTCCTGAGCTTTCTCCCATGAAGCTTCCCTCCATAATATCAGAGTTGATATTAATACTCTGCTAGAGAAGTAGTTAGTCTGCCCTACCAAGCAAGGGCCCTCAGAAAACACTGACCATATGGTCTATTTGCAGGCATGTTTCCCCCCATAATTTTAGTGGCTTCATAAACTAGACAGGACTCTGGGTGGGAGTAAAAAAAACTACCAAGGGAAGGGGAACCAACCTTTGCCTTCCATGAAGACGACAAAGGTGGAGTTGAATTTATTGGTGGAGAGTTTCTCCTCCAGGTCAAACGTCCTCTTTCCTTCGATTTCATCATCTGAGATGCCATCATCTTCATAGCGCCGTCTCATCGTCCCACGCTGTGGACAGAACAAACAGGAAGATGAGAATAGCTGCATACAGTGTGGTACAACCAGCTCATTTTCCCAGCTGTTGCAATAACCTCAGCTCTGATGCCTTTCTGGAAGATGCAATTTAGTTTTACAACAAACAGTTAAGCCAATGATTTGAGGGGGGACTTATTTATGGCCTCCATTACACCACAAACAAAGATGCCACCATTCCCAACCAAGAGTAGCAACTAGCTTAGTATTAATCTGGGGCATATGTCCCCTGGTTACCTGGCACACATTTGTTCCCCAACCCCTTTTGATCAGAGAGCAATTGGTGTAATCAGGTCCCAGATGCAATTGCTGTTCTGACCACCTCTAAACTTGCTACTGTCAAACTATTTCCTTGTTGCCTAGGAGCTCCTGCACTCAGGCCAAAAGGGGGAAGAGAGAGGTGGACAGACTACTAGCAGGCACAAGTTGGTCATTCTTTAGTTGTCAGCACAGGGGAGGGATGGGACAGTGTTCAAGAAAAATGGGACCAATGCAAGGGAAGGGGAATCAGCTTTCAACAGTTTTTATTTGGGTTTTTATAAGTGCGTTAGTATTTTGTATTGGAACAGGAGAAACACACTTTTATTTAATGCATTTAAATGTCATTAAATTAGCTTTCACTAGAAAGCTAAAAATTTATCAGGGGGGCAGACAAAGGGGGTTATTTTGTGAAAACCAAACAGATTTAAAACGTCACATCCGTAACTGCTACCAAAGACAGCATCTAGGTCAGGACTTTGTAATAGGTGTTTCTGCTAAGAACTGAAGGGGTTGGTGGATGCTTTTGGCATCAGCATAACTCAGATATACTAGAGCAAGTTTTTAAAATACCCAAGTAGGTGGATGGGCAGACAAGGTTCCTTGGGTGAATTTGATATCTTTTATTAGACCAACCTACACCCCTGCAAGTAGGTGGATGGGGTTTCTGTAACTCTCAAGAGTTGTTTAAGTACTTTAGAAATAGATCTCGTTTTTAATTCCAAGAGAAGAAAGGAGTTATTTTTCAGAGAGATGATACATCTCCTGCATGTACCCTTCCAACATTCACTTAGCCTTAAGAGTGAAGGAGAGACAGACTTCAGAACCTTGTTTCATACAGAGCTTGTATTTAATCCAGGAAAAATGGCACCCCTAACTCAGAGGCCTAGTGAGTTACTGGTGACATTTCTGCCATTACAGATAAGATGACACAATATAAGCTCCTTCAAACAGGAACATCTGCCAGCAAAGGGTCATAACACATTTGGGTAACAAGATAGATATGGGTGAGATAGGTTGGCCGGGGCAAAGTGAGGCTTGATATTTATAAAACACTGATCATTCAATCACAGAAGTCTGCGCAGGCAGCACAAGCTGAAGTACAATCAGGGGCCCTCTTTCTGCTCCAGGTTCATTAGCCCCATCACTTCAGTGCTCATCAGCAAGACTTTCCATTTAGACTCTGAACAGTTTACAATGAGATCCAACCTTGTTCTATGCCACCCCTCACTACTGCCAGCTCCATTCTTCTTCAGATTTATAAATGTGTCACAGATTTCCCTGAAGCCATAATAAATACTAGGTAGGGATAGGGATGCTGAGCCATGGAGATGTGGTGACTTGCCCAAAGTTAGGGTTGGGGGGCAGGGAAAAGGATGAACTATGGGAGAGGCTTTCAATACATCTCAGGTTTCTAGAGTTCCAGAACACCATCTTAACTACGCTGCTGTCTTCGTATAAACTCAGTTTTATTCATAATACACACTCATCTCATTGCCATCACACATACCACCTAGCAGAAGGGAGTGGGGGAGGAGAATACATATTCTAGGATTCAGATGCTACCAAGTTGACCCAGTTTTGGCAAGCTGTTGAGGGCCACATGGGTAGCCCCGTGCCTTGACAGGTGCCCCGCCTCCTGGTCACCATCTTGGGACCAATGTCCCAATGTCTTGGGACCAATGTCCCAGGGCCAGAACCAGTGGGGACAAGAGCAGGGCACAGGCTGGCAGGGGTCTGTGGAGTCAGGCTGGGCTGCACCAGCAGGAAGAGGGGAGAGCTGGCCTGGCTCCATAGAGTCCCTGCCACCCAGGACCCTGTACCCCTGCCACCTTGCTCTGGGCCCCGCTGGCGCTGGCCCTGGACACTGGTGTGGGCCCCACGCTCCTGCGCCTGCTCACTCCCAGTACCCCCCAGCCCCGACACCCTGTTTGCCAGCAGGGAACGAGCTGTTGTGGAGCGTGGGGAAAAGCAGCCCCTCGCCTACGCCATGGCCAGTGTTCCCTGCTGCAGCCACTCGCAGCCGGTGCGGGGCTGTCCTGAGCAGGAACAGGCAGCCCCACACAGGCTGCGAGCAGCTGCAGGGTGGGGCACCAGCCACAGGGCAGGCGAGGGGCCGCTTTTCCCCACCCACGGTCAGCACCAGCTTGTAACCCGCAGCCGCTGCCAGCCTGGGCCCCGAGTTGGCTCTGGGCTTGCCCATTGGGGCTGCATGCGGCAGCGGCAGTCCCACCACTTGCTGTGCTGGGCAGTGTTTGTTACTGTTGCTCACCCAGAGCTCATGAGCTGGGCAGCACAGAGGCGGCACTGCCTGGTGTGTCAAGTGGGGGGGTGGGGGCGGAGGGTG